TGGAGAAAGGGAGGAAGTGACGATGACTCTTTAATTATCTAGATCTAAGGGTTTTATAGTTCATTTATTCTGTGCCCAAGTGTGTGAACTTGTTTTAAACCTATTCCTTTTATTTGTGCAGTAATGGATTGATTAAGTGTAAAAACTACAGTTAATAATTGATGTCTGTTAAATATTTCTTATGTTTAATTGCTGGAAAGTTGTCACTAATAAAAATTACTCCGGTTACTGCAGCTAGAATAAACTGCTGAACAGGTGGAATTTTGCATTCCTTTAAAAATATTTAATTAACTTCATATATATGTTTAACAGTGAATGTTCTTACATGTATCAATGGTGCTCATACACGAGGCTTGACCACACAAATTACTGACACATACTTAGTCATTGGCTGGTCTTTCTGTTCCAAGTTGCTGAATTTGTGCGTTGTAAATTTTTGGCATTTTAAAATTGAGCATAAGCGTATGAGGACTTTATTAGGAGCAGGAATTTTCAGATGCAGGATTTTCCATCCAACCTCCCAGAGTGCCAGTGAGGAACGCATCCTCACAAATCACAGCAGCTCTGCAGCCATTTAACCCTTTGTAGAGTGTTAATTGACTGGAGATTGGACTTGCATCCTCAACCTGGTTGGCTAGGTGCTCTGCTGTCCTGGCAGCACCGATGGCAGTTGTGGCCAGGATTAGAACTACATTTAGTCCCAGAATCTTTGTTTGCAGCCCAGAACCAGATAATTGTTGGGGGCTTCACGGAAGGAAAATGGAGAAGATTAGGGTCTTGACAGGGACGCCATTGGTTTGGGGGAGTAACTGCTAGAGGGGACAGCCTTTTGTTTCAGGAAGGGGGTGAGGGGTGTTGGTGAGCACCTGGTGTGGAAAAGAGGTCCTCAGATGCATCTCCACTTGCCACCTAAGACTCCAGCGGTGTGTACTGAACTTCCCAATTCCTTGAATTCCTCCTGACAACTTCAAAATTTAAACCCCGCAGGTGCAGATACTTAAGGGCCTCAGCTGGGGCAAAACCAGGCATTGGGTTGAAATTACAGACAGATGAGGGCGGGTTGGAGGACTGTGGGAGGACCATCTCGGGAATTTTACTGCCCCTTAATCCGTATGCAAACCTACTGGCAGGGCAGTATGAAATTCTGCCCTGTGTCTGGATTGCTGTAAAGAGAACGAAGATGACATGGATAGCCTTAGAAAAATACATCAAAGTTGTACATTCAGTTAATTTATTTCCCATAGTTTCTAAGATTAAGAACATTCCCCAGCTTTTTCAATGGCCTTATTCTCTCCCTACTCAGGCCTGTATTCTGTAACCCATCCTTTGATCTAATCTGAAATCACCTTCTCGTCTCATCCGGTATTTTCCTTTGGCTATCATAAAGCATAGCTCATCTCAGTGACCCTCTTCAGACTGTGTACCCTCCCCACAAATGTTGTTACCCTGCTCTCCTCTAAACACCAATGCTTAATTCCTCTGGTCTTTCCAATTACTGTTTGGTAATCAACTATTGTATTCTCTCTAAATGCTCAAATGAGTTGTCACCACTCAGATTGGACTTGCATCTCACAACATTCCATAATTAATCCCAGATCACTTTATTTTGTTTTCTGCTCACAGCTCCAAGGCTACCCTGGTCAAAGTGACATATCTCTGATTTCTCTGGACGGTTGGATACAATTATATAATCTCAACCATCAGCCATCTTTAGATTGTATATCATGATTCCATCCTGCCTGCCCCAACACCCTGATGGCTTCATCAGATACGTACCCAGTCTTTAATTTTCCTCCTTACCTTTTATATTTTTGGCAACATCAATTGTCATCTGTGACATGCAGCATATGCTGCACCAGATGGACTGCAGCTGTTCAGGAAGGCAGCTCACCAGCACCTTCAGGAGCAATTTGGGATGTGCAACAAATGCTGGCTTTGCCTGTGATGAGAACACCTCAATAATACAAAAGGATTAAATAAACTTTGGCAATATTTAAAGCTATTCAATACCACTGTCCTATTTGACTGCATAGACAGTATTAAATTCTGGATCAGGAAGAGCTTTGTTCATTGCAAGATCTCCCACCCAATACATGGAAGCAATTAATTTCCTCCCTCTTTGTGGCAATTTAAATAGAATACAATGGTGCACAATGTTGGTGCCTCATTTTATCCTGCGATGGAGTTTAAAACCCTCCATCCTGGATGCCACCAATTCTATCTTTGCAAAGTTTCTGCCTCTGACCTGACTTCATCCCTCAGCCTCTTTTTGCCAACTAAATTGCTCCAACGTTCTCCTTGGCATGCATCCAAGTTCTGCCTTCAGAAACTTGCCATGCGTTCAAAGCTCCATCACCCAGGTTCAACCTTGCATTGCCATGCTGCCCTTTTCCCCTTGTTTGCTAGCCTTCATTTGATGTCTTTTTGCTTTTAAATTTCCTTTTTTGGACAATCCATGACCTCACTCCTTATTATCATTGCCACTACTTTCAGATTCTGTTCCTGTACATTTTTTTCCCCAATCTTCCATGTGTTCCCTCTTCTGTGTACTTTTCACTGCAGAACTATTAGCTTTGGTTTTCTACCCTGCTCTTCACATTGAATTGCAACCCCTCCTTTAAAAGCTTCTTGAAAATGTATCTCTAACTTACCATTTTACTCACATTTTTTGACTGAAGTGTTCTGGGGTGTTTTATTAAATCAAAACGGCTATGTAAGTGAAAGTGTTAATGCATATCAAGTGACAGATTTTGTACTTCAATTTTCTGTGAAGTAAATGAATTTGGTTAAATGCTTTAAATGCCACTACATATGTGTGTTTAAAAAAAATCGAGGAAATCTATAAACATTTTTTGAAATTATATTACATTTAACTAATGTAAATAGTCCAAATGAAATACTTCTTTTTTAACCAAAGTTACTAGGCCAATTGCCAGAAATTTCAATGTGTGGGAAGTCATCAGAACTGAATTCTGGGAAAAGACCACCTTTGTTTTCCCTTGTGTTGTACTGCTCGATAATAACCTTGGCCAGATAGAACCTTGACATTTTGCGTAAATCACAGGGGGCCAGCAGAAAGGGTTTTGCCAATTTTGAGCTTGCCATGGTATACAGATCTTTTATATTGAGTTTCCTTATTTAACCTTTGAGGGTGTTTTAAATATAGATCAGTGCTTTCCTATTTTATTTAAAGATTTGTTCATGTTTTTTTCCATCTCATCAGGGGTCATCCCCTACTTGCCGTTCTTCCTTTTTCTAAGAAGGAAGGCTGTACTTAAGATTAGATGATGTCATCTTATTCTCCAGGAATAGCTTTGCATTCTGGCTGTCGACACACGTCACTTTCTGTACTAGCAATTGAGAGAAATCTAAGTAGTTTCTTTTCAAAAGCGTGGGCTTCAGCTTGTCTAAAAGGAAAGCAGACATTTATCTTCTAATGCCTTCCTTATGCTGTACGTCTAAGTTTAATTAGAAACGGTTTGTGCCTTAAGCAAACTCAGTAAAAATGCGTGGTTCTTCACTTGCAGAAACCGATGACTACGCAGAGATCATAGATGAAGAGGACACATATACCATGCCCTCCAGTAAGTACATTTGCTGTTCTGTAATGGCTATATGTGGCCCAGTTTTAAACATCTGTTGAATAATAAACGTTTACGTCAGCATCAGGTTTGTACTAGTGTGTGTCTGACTTAAGGCATTCCAAGTAAGTTGATGTCCAAATGCTAGCTCGATTGAGAGTGGACAAAAAAAAACTCTCTATAGAGTACTTTTTTATATATTTAAAATAATTAGTTTCTGACATTGTTTAGGAATGTTCATAATGCTGTTGATGGAATATGGTGTTCAATTTCATAGCCACATTTAAAGGTTAAATCTGTTTGTTGCTTGTGCTGAGTACTTCTTGGAAATTGTGAGGTTTAAATGAAGTTACTCACAGCAGATTTGTTAATACACCCAGTGATAATTGATAAATTGTTAACATTTGTTTCTTTTCAAAGTCCAAAGTAAATTAAAGTGCTTGTTATTTGGTTCCTTTATTTTGTTTCATAGTTTTCTTTGGATGTAATTCCATGAAATATTGTTTTTAATAGCACTGTAGTATTGCAGTAGTGCAGGGTATTAATCATAAGAGAACTGAGGGTGAACCAATTTCTCCAATGATTCATCCAAGTTTCACAGTGGACACTGGCCATTGTTGAATGGATAATGGATATTTGGAAGTTATTTACAACAGGACTAATTGAGTAGTTGAAGCATGACAGTTGATTTGACTACGGCTGTTAACTGAATTTTGGTGTGTATTGTTTTCCATGATACATTGGTACTTGAGATATTATATCACTGTTGCATCTAATATTAAACTTTTCTGACTGAGTAGAATATGTTCCATATTCTGCCAGAGTGATGTAGGAGAAAAAGAAATACTTCATATACAGTTAAAATCCTATATTATATTTTCATGTTGTTTTCAAGATTATTCAATAGTTTAATTATTAATATTAATGAATTTTCAGAAACTGATCAATATCACCACTTATTCTGTTGGAATACTTAACAAAGTTTTAATGTCTGCTGGATAAAAATCGGTGATAGGTCAGTCCCCAATATCAGTATACAACAATGACGTAGTTCCCTGGCACATTCTTGTAAAATGTCCCAAGGCTTTTCCAGAAAGCTATCAGATAAATTTGAGAAAGGAAAGGACTGGGTTTTAAGGAGTAACTCAAAGGAAGAAAGAGAGATAGATAGGTTTGTAGAGGGATTTACAAAGCTTAGGTCATCAGCAGCTCAAAGTATGGATCTCCAGTGATGAAGCAATTAAAGTTGAGGATGCTGAAGAGTCCAGAATTGGAAGAATACAGGTATCTTAGAAGGCGTAAGGGCTGAAAGGAATTAGAGATTGGAGGTAGCAAGACCCTACAGAAATTTGAAAACTTTAGATTTTTGTATGTTCATTTCTGCCTCAATCAGTTTCCATGGTCGGTCACAACTTAATAATATATTAAAACAGGAAAGCTAGCAATTTGGAATAAATCAGTCAGTGTTTTAATGATGAAGTGAAGACTTTGGCTGGGATTGTACTGATTGACCTCCTTTCATCTTTCAGCACTTTTAATTTTATTTCAGAATTTTAGCATGCATAATTTAGTTTTCTCTAATTATTTAACCTGCATACTGAACCTGTTACTGCTTACTGAATGTTTTTTCAATCAGTGGGTGCTTGGTGCTTGGAACTTGGAACTCACTGTATGTAAGGGTGATGAAGGCAGAAACCCTCATAATATATAAGTATTTAGACATATACTTGCAATGTGAAGGGGCCAAGTGTGGGCCAAGTGCTGGAAAGTGAAATTAGAATAGTTAGATGGTTATTTTTGATTGACACAGATTGATGGTTCAAAGGGCCTTTTTCTGTGCTGCAGACCATGCAATGACTGATAGAAAAACAGTATATGTGAGAATTTTGGGATTTATCTAAGTTTCTAACACTGGGGAGGTGGTTCCAGCATTTGTGAGCTGATAATGAACATTCCTTCTGATACAAAGATCTAAGAGATAAAAGTTGCAGCCTGTCAGTTCTCCTGGAGGGGTAGTTATAGGAGTTATGATGTTGAAAGTGCTGTCAGGATCTAATTCAAGATATAGAGTGATTCTGGAATTTGCAGCACTTGGGGATGTCCTGGTATGTGGGAGGGTGTGAGCTGGGATAATGGTGATCAGATGTGGGATTATGGGGTGGAAGATATTACCAAGTGTGGTTGACACTGCAATGATAGGAAAATAGAGAAGAATAGGAGTTTCAGATGGCCATGTAAAGGTTGAGGGCTGAGAGCTCAAAAAAGGCGAGAAGTATGTAAAAAGTGGGAGATATTAAAGAATGACTTACATTTATATTAAACCTTTTATGTCCTCAGAATGGCTCACAGTGCTTTTACTACCAATGAAGCACTTTTAAACTTTTAAACAGGTTGTAGGAAACATAACTGTCAATTTGCCACAAAAAATCATTTTGTGAAACCAGGAATACTCCATGCACTGCACAGAAGTAATGATTGTGTCTACCACCTGAGATATCTGTGAACAATTGCTGATTGTCAGCACTACTGTTTATTTCACATTACAGAATGGGCAAGAGCTAGGAACTTTGATGTGATGCTTTGGTATTATGGGATATGGAGAATAAAATCCATGTGACCTTGCATTTACCTCTGTATTTGTACACAGCTTCTAAAATATCGACTGTTTGGTCCAACTCCCTCAAGTTGCAAATACTCAAAAAGGGCATTGATATAACTGTGTACCATTGATACCCAAAAGGCCAGAGAATCACTGATCCAAACTGTGAAGACTTGATGCTTTTTTTTTGTTAATAGAATTGCATATTTATCAATGCTAATTCTACGCTGATTCTGCAATTACTACATTATTGATAATGCAGTATCCATTGAGTTGTAGTCACTGGCTTGTTGGTGGTATCATTTTCCTAGAAGATTAACTACCATAGGGATCTCAACCTTTGTCAGTCCCCTGTCAGTGCCCTTATGTGATCCACATAGATCAACAATGTTCTGTGCAATATATCAGCCATCCATTTGCACCTCTGCTCAGTTTTCAATCAATCATTCCTTCCAATATTTGTCTCAATCCACTATCAGCTCTAATGATGTGACCAAAATATTGTATCTTCCTCTCTCTGCCTTCAAGTACTATTTTCCCTGTATTTTTTTTCTAGCCTTTTCCTGTACTTCCTCATTAGGCTTCTTGTCTTTGTGGTATATATCAAACAACACCTTTTGGTTATTTAAATGTACTGATTTAGATAAATTTTGAAAACATTGTTGCATAGTTAATTGCCAAAGCCAAAGAAAGATATTATTACTCACCACAGAGAATACAAGAAACATCCTAGGAACAGCTATAAATTAGGAGGTAGAAGGGAAGAAGGAACTTGGGGGTGGGGTGGGGTGGGTTGGGGTGCTGAGGGGGAATCACAGACCACAGTGAAATGGGCCTGGGAAAATAGTTGGAGCTTCAGCCTGACGAACTTCATCCTTGGGCCTTAAGAGAAATGACTAGTAAGAAAGTTGATGTATTGATTTTAAATGTCTAAAACTACCTTGATTTTCACATTAGGTTTTACGGTAGCAAAAATATCTCCTTTACCTAAATATGGAGGGAGACAAATCGGAAAATTACAGGCCAGCTAGTTTAAAACCACAGGCCAGTTGTGAAAACTTTAGAATCTTTTATTAAGGAAGCTATAGAATGACACTTCTATATAAGTAACTTGTTGATCAGTTCAAGGTAATCTGGCAGAGTTAATGTGGTTTTATAAAAGGTAAGTCATGTCTAATAATCTTTTGGAATTTTTTTTTGAGGAATTAGTATGTGCTCTGAAAAAAAGGATACAGGTGGATGTATTGTACTTTGATTTGCAGAAGGCATTTGCGAAAGTGCCACATCATAGGTTATTGTGGAAAACAAAAGCTCACAATGTGAAGGGGAGTACATTAGATTGATTAGAAAATTGGCTGGCTGACAAGAAATAGGGAATGTACACAAATTGTTCTTTTACAGGTTGGCAAGGTACAATGAATGACATGACATGGATTGGTGTTCGGATCTCAACTGCTTAAAAATCATATAACTGACTTAGATGAAGGGATGGAAGGGATAGTTGCTAGATTTATTGATACAAAAATAGGTAGAAAAGTAAAGAGGATGTAAGAAGGCGTCAAAAAGATATCAATAGGTTAAGTGAGTGTGCCAAGGTTTGGCAAACGGAATATAATGTAGAAAATGTGAAATTTTTACTTTTGGCAGGAAGAATAAAGAAAACATATAACTTCTGAGAAATTTCTGACCCCTTAGAGGAGGATTTTGGGTATACTAGTGTATGAATTGCAAATGTAGGTATAGCGGGTAATATACAGGTACAGCAAGTAATTAAGAAAGGGGTCTTGACATAATAGATATGAACAGGATGTTTCTAGTTATGGAAGAATTACTCTTTTAGAATAACAGGTCAGTCATTTAAAACTGAGATGAAACTAAATTTTACTTCAGAGGTCAGAGAGTTTTCGGAACTCTTGTCCTGAAAATGTGATAGAAGTGCATATTTTTACAACAGAAGTGGAATGAATCTTGATAAACAAGTGAATGGAAGATTATCAGGAGTGGACAAGAATGTGGATTTGTGGAGGTTACAATCAATGGCCTTATTAAGCAAAGGAGCAGGCTCAAGGGGTTCAGTGGCCTATGGCTACTCTTGTTTGTTTTATTATATTTTCACCATCTTTCGGACTCTTCCACTGTTGCTTAGTTATTGAATCCAAGCATCCGGTACTAGGTGAGCAGAAATTTTCTCAATTAAACACTGCAGAGACTTAACAACAGCAATTTGCATTTCTATTGCACCTTTAACATAAAACCTTATTTTCAGTCCCACTTCTAGATTAAAACTCTCCCTGGCAACAGTCTGATACTAAACCTGACCTATTGTAAGAGAGTCATTGCCCAAGATTGCCAATTTCTACCTCCGTATCATTGTCTAACTTTGCCCTTGCCTCAGGTCATCTGATGCTGAATCCCTTAGCCATGCCTTCATTACTTCCAGACTTGATTATTTCACCATGTTTCTGGTTGGTCAGCCGCATGCAAACTTCTGTAAACTTCAGGCCATCCAAAACCCTGCTCATGTTCTGACTTGCACTAACTTCCCTTTGGCTACTTCCTTTGTGCTTGCTGATCTACATTGGCTTACATTCATGCAACATCTTGATTTTAAAATTCTCACCCTTTTTTCACATTTTTATGATTTCAAATGCCTCTTGGACTTCTCCTGTCTCTTACTCTGTAATCTTCTTCAGCCTCTTAACCCCTTTTGATAAAGCACTCATCTAAATCTTGAATCAATTCCCAATTTTAATTGATAAATGATTGTTGGAAGTGCTTTCAGTTGCCCAGCCCCCAAGCTCTGGAATTCCCTCCCTACACCCCTCTGCCTCTGTGTGTCTCACTTTCTTCTTATAAGACACTCCTTAAACTCACTACTTTGTCTTAACTGATCTAAAATTGCCTAATATGGCTTGGTGTCATATTTCATCTTATTACAATCCTATGAAGTACCTTGTTTTATTGTAGTGGAGGCACCATAGTTTGTTTTTATCTTCTGTCTGCTTTTTCTGATTTTATTTTATTCAACAAAAAATTATTCCCTGAAATATACCAATTGGGCAGTATACGAACCCACAGTTTGATGACTAGTTTTATAAATTTAACAGGGAATGAAGTTCACTTTGGGTTAAATTATGCCAAATACCATCTTGTTCCCTTTTCACGCTGTTAAAGATACCATCTTTGGGTGAGGTGTTAAACTAAGAATCTACCTGCTCATTCAGGTGGATGTGGAAGATGGAATAGCACAGTTTCAAAGAACAGAGGAGTTATTCCAGATGTTCTGGCCAGCATTTGTCCATCAATCCACAACAGAAAAATAGATGATGTCATTGATGTCACACTGCTGTTTGTGGAAGACTTCTGTTTGCAAGTTGGCTGCTGCATTTGGTACCTTATAACAGTTCAGAAGTAATTAATTGATTGTAAAGCACCTTGAGACTTCCTGAGATTGTTAAAAATGCTGTTTAACCCACATTTCTTTTGTTCTACAAATTTATAAGAAACCTGCTGCTTCATCTGAATTTTTCATCTACAAATGGTTTTGTTTTCTTTTAAGTTTTTGTTCTTTTTTGCGCAAAAGAATTGATGGTTTAATCCATTGTTCAGCATTCACTGCAGTACCATGCTACATAAAATGCATTATTTCATATTTATCTACAGAAACTGTAATATACACTGCTTTTTGATTTTCTTCCTCCTACTCCCAATTGCAATGCAGAAAGCTATGGCATAGATGAAGGTAATGAAACTGTTTATTAATCGTTGCCTGATTTTTCTGCTTGCTGCCTGTTGGATGAATATAATTTTTGCCAAGTTGTGTGTCACTTAAGTGTGTAACCTTCTATCATTTTTGAAAAAACTGTGAAAATAATTTGACACTCAAATTGATTTAATAGCTAATTATCTCCACTCTTTACAGCCAGAGATTATGAGATACAGAGGGAGAGAATCGAATTGGGCCGCTGCATTGGAGAGGGGCAGTTCGGTGATGTGCATCAAGGAATTTACATGAGTCCTGTGAGTAATTTAGAAATTAAGTGTATATGACAAGGTTAAAAGCATTTATGGTTAAACAGAAAATCAGGACAGCGCCAGTGGAAGTGTGGAATCTCATTAGGCAACATCACGTTCAAAAGTTGTTTTGCCTTTCATTCTGTGGAAGAGGCCCTGAATTGCATGGGTAAAATTTTTGCATTGAAACATGTTTCACAAGCAAAGATCTCCTTGTAATCACTGCAGAGGCTGTCCAGTTGCCAAAATATCTGTCATTCAGATAGTCTGAAACCAAGCATAAAGGGAATTTGAAAAGAATACCTTTTAACACTATAGCCAGAAAGTGTAAGCACACTCCTGATACTCCCTACACTTCTCTACTGCCAAAACCTTTTTTGCTAAGTGCTGCAATAATAAGTATGGGAAGCTTAAGTTTGGAGGTATCCTCCATAAACACGATTTGCACCCTGGAGTTTTGGGGCAGGAGTCATCAAATTGGGCCAGCCTCAGTTCTGAGACTGCAACTCATTCCTGTAACAGGTCCTTAATCCCTCTGGTCTCACCCTCATATCCCTAAACCACGTCTATGCCTCTTCATGCCCTCCAAGTTACCTCCATACTCATCCTTACAACTTCATACCATTCATGCTCACAGCTGTAGCCAATCACCCAGTATCCACTGTGGGCAGACTCAGGAGCCATGTGGAAATGAAAACTACTTCTAACAATTTTTGAGCAGTGTCACTCCTACACATTTTGATAACGAAAGAAAGAACTTTGTTTTATTTATTCACCTGTCGTGGGCATCACTGGTTGGGCCAACATTTATTATCCATCCCTACTTACCCTTGAGATGATGGTAGTGAGCTGCCTCCTTGGGCTGCAGTCCACGTGCTGTAGGTAGATCCACAATGCAATCAGGAGGGAATTCCACAATTTTGACCCTGCAACAATGAAGGAATGGCAAGGTGTTTCCAAGTCAGGATGGTGAGTGGCTTGGAGGGAAACTTGCAGGTGATGGTGTTCCTATACTTCTGCTGCCCATGCCCTTCTAGATGGTAGTGGTCATCAGTTTAGAAGGTGTTGTGAAAGGATCTTTGGTGAATGTGTGCAGTACATCTTGTAGATGGTACACACTGCTGCTACTGAACGTTGGTGGTGGAGGGAGTGGATGTTTGTGATTGTGGCGATAATCAAGCGGGCTGCTTTGTCCTGGATCGTTTCAAGCTACCTGAGTGTTGTTTGAGCTGCGCTTATCCTGGCAAGTGTGGAGTATTCCATCATGCTTCTGACTTGTGCCTTGTAGATGGCGGACGGGCTCTGGGAAGTCAGGACAAGAATTACTCGCCAAGGTATTCCTAGCCTCTGATCTGCTCTTGTAGCCACTATATGTATGGCAAGTCCAGTTCAGTTTACAGCTGAAAACGCAGTTGGGCTACTTCAAAGAATTTAAATTTCTATCAGTTATAAAGCAAACCAACCACATCAAAACTAGAGATAACAAGGTGTAGAGCTGGATGAACACAGCAGGCCAAGCAGCATCAGAGGAGCAGGAAGGCTGATGTTTCGGGCCTAGACCCTTCTTCAGAAGTCAGGGTCTTATGCCTGTTCAATATGTGACTCTCTTGTTTGGTTGAAGTCCTTGGAACAACCAAAATGTGGTCTGTTTAAAGTCTGCTCTAATTTCAGAAGGTCCTGATCAGTTCAGATTCAAGCCCTGTCTCCTGTCCCCAGTTGACACAAATGGTACCTGCTGAAAACGGAGGCTGCACTCCACATCTAGGTATTGCATGCCATTTTAAAAAACCTTCAGAGTTGGCCCAATGGCATAAAAATCTGGCTCTTGTTGTATCTTGTCATGATATAAGAACCCAGACAGTGCAGTACGTTCATCTTCACCAAATCAATAACTTGGATCTTATAAGATTTTTAATTTTTGAAAGAAACAGGATCAGATATGTAATTAAATTACTCATTCTGTTAAACAGTTGAAGGAGAAGACTCAGGTCCATTTCTATTAAATAAAGGGATAGCTGAGTTTAATTAGAAAAAATAAATAATGATCAGAGGTCCAAGAAAAAATTGGACTAACCAAACTGTCTTTCCTGGTTCCCACATCATTGTATTCAGAAGCTGTTTTGCCCCCTAGATTGTTTAATAGAGGTTTGTTGTTTGTTTCCACTGGAAAGAAAATACGAGCCATTTTTAACTGGTCAGGTGAATTCAAACTTGCATTTTTCAGAAAATTCTGACCAAGTTGTGCTTCAGCATAGAGTGTGTCCTAGTGAAATTAGCAATAAATATACTGTTTGAAATTGTCCCTTGTGGATAGTGCATTATGGAATCTGCCATCTCCATCATGTAGCTTGTTTTGGAAAAGTTTCATAGTTTCATATGTCAGTAGAGTTATTTTTCATTGTTTTCTATTACTTTGTGTGAGGAAAAGAGCCTTTGGTTACACATTTTGTCAACGTTTTTGAAAGTTGCAATGCCTGGATGAATAGAATGTGTGAAGAGTATACATTTGTAGTTTTCAGGAAACCTCTATTGATGCTGTTGGTTATTAAAATGAATTAAAATCGAAAACATTAAACATTTAATATTGTGCTTAAAATTAATTTTCCTTTATAACGAGCCACTTATTTTGTTTTGGGGCTTTACACATAACATTGTTCCCAGGTGAAAATCTTGGTCTGGCTTAGCTGCACTCTAGCCATTAGCAAGTCTCAGAAACTTGTCCTCAAAATTTTTTCCCCTTTCTACTAAAGACATTCTTGATTTTGATTCAGCACTCCCAGAAGAGTGCTGAGTAACAGGCACCCTCTTCCAGTCTCAGAATTATAAAATTTTAGTCTGAATGAAATGAATCTTATTCTGTATCCTGTTTGAGCCAAGAAATTCTCAGTGTTCATATAAAACAACTCGAAGCATTTCATATTCTGAGGGCTGTTTGGAGATGCAGTGAGTATTGCTACTTGTTTTCTGCACAGCAGATTCCACACATATGCAATAAAATGGATGACCAGTTGATCTGTTCTGGGCAATTCTGATTAAGACAGAATACTGACCAGGGCATCATACCTTTGGTGGTCCCAGGACATACCAAAATGCATCAGAACCAACAAATGTTTTACAAGTACAACACTATTATAGGAAAACACAGTAGCAAGTTGCTGCACAGAACAGGTTCAATGCAAGAAGTAAATGGTCAGAGAAAAGCTTGATCAAAGAGATAGATGTTAGGGAGTTAGGTTGTGAAAGAGGCAAGAAAGGTGAGCAGAGGAAAGGAATTCCATAACTTTGAGACTTCACAGCTGAAAAAGCCCACCCACCAATTATGGAATGACTAAAAGCAGGGATGGCCAAGACTGGAATCAGAGACATACTGAGTATCTGTTTGGAGGACCAGAGGAGACCATTGCAGAGAGCAGGAGAGGCTTCAATGTGTAGGAATTTAAAAACTGAATGGGAATGTTAAAATCAGTTGCTTCACTGGGGGCTAGTGTAAGGATGATAGCTGAACAGAACTTCTTTTTTTTAAATTCATATATTGGAATATAGGAACCATTGGTGAGGTTAGCATTCATTGCCCATCACTTGAGAAGGTCATGATGAGCTGCCTTCTTGAACTGCTGTCGTTCTTGGGTTTAGGGACACCCACAGTGCATTATGAGGGGAGTTCCAGGATTTTGACTCGGCGACAGTGAGAGAATGGCGATTATAGTCCGAAGTTAGAATGGTGAATGACTTGGAGGGGAACTTGCAGGTGGTGTTCCCATGCATCTGCTTGCCCATCTAGGTGGTAGAGATTGCAGCTTTAGAAGATGCTGTTAAATGATGCTTGGTGAGCTATATAGTACATTTTGCAGATGGTAAACACTGCTGCTACTGTGCAGTGGTACACCTATTAGTTTACTGATTATCAAGAGTAAACTGATGGAGCAACAATTTAGGTGGTAGATTTGGCTTATTTTTAACATAAAGATGTACCTGGGAAACTTTCCACATTGTTGGTAGATGCCAGTGTTGTAGTTATGCTGGAGCGTGGCAAGTTCTGGAGCACAAGTCTTCAGTACTATTGCCAAAAAATTACAGCATCAAGTGCTTTCAGCTGTTTTTTTTGATATCATGTGGAATAATTGAATTGGCTGAAGACTGGCATCTGGAATACTGGGGACCTCTGAAGAAGGCTGAGTTTGATCATCCATTCAGCACTTATGGTTGACGATTTTAAAGATGCTCCAGCCTTACCTTTTGCACTAAAATGTTGGCCTCTCTCCTCTTTGAGGGTGGGAAATTTGATTGGATGCGACTGGACTTCAGGGCATAGATAACATCCATTGGATGTGGAATTGCTTAGTTCTGCCTGATATATGGTGCATATATTTGGCTGGTATTGAGCTATTTGTTTACAATAGAAAGCAGGTTTCCAGGAGTTTCATGCTTCAAATGATCTGAGGTAAGATGGAATATGAGACCTTTATATCCTCAGGTCACATACTGTGATACAGTGGTGATATCATGAGAATGTCTCTTAAAGGCATACTGACCATGAGAGATAACATGATAGCTTCTACAATAAAATAAAGAACTGCAAATGCTGGAAATCTCAAACAAAAACAGAAAATGCTAGGGAAATTCGGTAGGTCTGGCATCATCTGTGGAGGGAAAAGCAGAGTTAATATTTTGAGTCCAGTGACCCAGTTAACTTTGTTCCTCTCTCCACAGATACTGTTGAGACCTGCTGAGTTTCTCCAGCACTTTCCATCTTTGTTACAGTCAATAACCCATTGACTTTATGCTAAATTGAGAATTTACTTGAAGCATATTTCTGGCCATGTTCACTGAGAATGAAATCCCCGCCAACCCCACCACACCTGACATCTTTCTCTGCAACCGCAGGAGGCGCTACACCTGCCCCTACACCTCCCGTCTCACATCCATCCAAGGCCCAAGACAAACTTTCCATATTCGACAGGGGTACCCCTGTACATTCTCCTATCTGGCCTAATGCATTCATTGCTCCCAATGTAGCCTCCTCTGCATTGGTGAAACCAAGCTGAGACTCAGTGACCGATTTGTGGAGCATCTGTGCTCTGTTCACTATATTCAACACTGCCTTCCCGTTTCCAACCATTTTAACACCCCCTCCCACTCCTTTGGTGACATGTCCATCCTGGGCCGCCTCTATGTCACAATGACACTACGCAAACTGGAGGAACAACACTTCATATTCCACCTGGGGAGCCTTCAGCCCGATGGCCTGAGCATAGAATTCATCGGTTTCAAAATCTCCCCACCTCTGGCTTCGTCCCAAGTCCAACCCTCCCTCCAATCTCCACGTCCTTGACCTGACACAGCCTGTCCATCTTCCTTCGCACCTATCTGTCCCACCCTTCCTACTGACCAATCCCCACTACCCCTACCCACATCTACCTGTAACCATCCCACCTACCTATCAGCCCCATCCCTCCTCGCTCTATTTATTTCCCAGCTCCATTCCTCCTCCCCAGCCCTGATGAAGGGTCTCAACTCGAGACATCAACTCTCCTGCTCTTGTGATGCTGCCTGACCTGCTGTGTTCCTCCAGCTCTACACTGTATTGACTCTGACTCCAGCATCTGTAGTTCTTGCTGTCTCCGAATGAAACACCGTGTAATTTGTAATAGCTTTATGCAGAAATTGTTTGTTTGGATCAACATTCTTATTTAAGTGTTTCAACGTAGTCCTGTGCTTTGTGCAGTTATGTGTTTATTCAGATTGCTCCACTGGTTCTGGAAACCTTTATAATTGTGTATTATTTTTTCTCCTTGCTTATACAGGAAAACCCTGCAATGGCTGTTGCCATCAAAACATGCAAAAACTCCACTTCAGATAGTGTGCGAGAAAAGTTCCTACAGGAAGCCTGTAAGTTTATAAATGTACTCTTACTTTGCAATTTAAATATAGCACTTAGCCTAACTGCTGGAGAAGTGGATTTAAATTAGAGTTTAAGAAGTAACATTAGCAAACCTTCTGTGGATTGGGTGGGGGACCGTCTTCTGTTCTGCAAATTTTATTGATTCTTTGAGAGATATCTAAACTTGTAACTTAATATTTAATGGTACTTTAGCATGTTTTGACTAATTTGGTTCAGGATATAATATGTCTCGGTGTAATATGTGCAATGAAAATCTATATTAACGATTGACTTAAAGGTAAGATCATTAGCTTGTGTCGGTCACAACTTCAAATATGTGAGACCAACTTTTTTTTTATTAATTATTAATAGGAAACCAGGAGAGATCACAGACAAGTATTTAATATCTTTTCTCAGGGTAGAAGACACAACGATAAAGAGAAAATCAATAGGCAAAAAAGGGGGAGGAACTTAAAACAATCACTCTCATTGGAGAAAAGGTACAAGGAAAATTGAAGAGATTGACAAGTCCCTTGAACTTGATGGCCTACATTCTACCGTTTAAAGAAATAGTTGCAGAGATAGTGGAAGCACTGTTGTAGTTGTCCAAAATCCCCAGGCTCTGGAACAGTTCCAGCAGATTAGAAAATCACACCTTTATTCAAGAAAGGAGAGCGATGAGAGCAGGAAAGGCCTATTAGCTGAATATCTGCCATTGGAAAAATGCTGGCATCCATTGTCAAAGTTGTAGCAGGGCATTTTTTTTTTAAAATGTTGCACAATCAGATTGAGTCACTATGGTTTTGCTGAAGGGCATTCACGTTCGACAAGTTTATTAAAGTTCTCTGAGGGTGCAACAACAAAAGATTCAAGATTTGGATTTCCAGAGGCATTCTGTGAGGGATGGGCTACAAATGCTGGCCTTGCCATTGGCATTCGTATGCCAATGAAAATAAGTTTTAAAATGTGTTACATAGAAGATTACCACACAAGATCATGTGGTAGGTGTAATATAGTAGCACGGATAGAGGAGTGACACAAAAATAGGGAACAGGGTCGGGGTGTGCAGATCATTTTCAGGTTGGCAAACTGTAACTAATGGAATGCTACATGGATTAGTGGTGAGACCTCAACTATTTGTAATATTTATCAATGGTTTGGATAAAAGAACTGTGGAGTGAATAGAATAGACTGAAAACTGGCATTTATGTGTTAGATTCTTGAGGAGGCCGAGCTGGATCATTCACTCAGCACTTCTGTTTAAATATGGTTGCTAAAGCTTTAGCTTTGATGAGCTGGACTCCTGCATTGCTGAGGAAGGTGATGTTCATGGAGCTTGATCCTCCCACTTGTTTATTTATTCCCTGCTAGGGCTTTGATCTATCAAAAATTGCCCAGGATTCTACTTCATGGTTAGGCCGCTACTGCTAACTGCATTGCTCTGTTACTGATAGAAAAAAGACTTCTCCATAACCCTATAACAATTTGGAAGTTGTACACTTGCACTAAGCTTTGCACTGCCTTTGCTGAATCACATCCCACTGTAAGACTCTCACACAAGGTGAGATCTTAATATCTTAAATTATGTCAGCGTATTTTTCAGGGGGAACTTTCAGGGATGAATTCCAAAACCTTTCTACTGAGTGACAACTGTTTTATTACGTTTAAAATATGTATGCCAATCATGCTATTTAATTATTTTAGATGTCCCACTAGATAATTTGCCCCCTTACATACACTACTTTGATGTTGCCTTGTCTCCTCTGCTACCAATTGAAATTCATGGTGGTGTGACTGACCATCTTAAAACTGGAGATCACTGGAAATTGCATTTGCAGTCCAGATGGCTCTCTGCATTTACGCAAAGAAAAACCAGGCTTCACTCGTCTCCAATATTTAATCAGAAACCTTTTAAATTTGTTTTTGTCAAGAGATTTGGACGTCATTCACTGAACCAGCATTAATTGCCCATCCCTAATTGCCCTTGAACTGAATGGTTAGCTAAGTCATTTCAGAGGCCAGTTAAAAGTCAACTACAGTACTGTGGGCCTGGAGTCAGAGAGGACACACGAGGTAAGGACGGTAGATTTCCCATTTAACTTGCTGTCGGTAGGCCTTCCAAGTCATGGAATATAACTGTAACTAGTCTTGGTGCCTTAAAGTTTACATTTTAGTATTGTATAATATGTCAGAACAGCTCTAAGTTGTATGGAAATTGTTCAAAGAGTTCAGTTGTTGATCAGTAGGTATAAAAGAGAGTGAGGCGCGGGACACTAACATGAGTGTATCTGAAACAAATTAGCACTTTGCTTTTAAAACCATAAATTGCATGAACAACAACTTGTGTGTACATTTTTCCTATGATAATGTAAATTACTGATTCACAACATTGTTACACTGTAGAGGATGCCATTTGGTCAATTGTCTTAGGTCAAAATCCTGGAATTCCCTCCCTAATAGCATTGTGGCTCAACCCACAGTAGGAGGAATGCAACGGTTCAAGAAGGCAGCTCACCACCACCTTCTCAAGGACAACCAGGGATGGGCAAGAAATGCTGGCCAGCCAGCGATGCCCACATCCCACAAAATGAATAGAAAAAAAAAATATGCCTGTACCAGCTCTATTACCCAGTGCCAATCCCTGCACACTATTTCTATCTTAATAATCATCCAAAGCTCTCTTCAATGCCTCAATTGAACCTATCTCCATTACATTTCCAAGCAGTGCATTCTATACCCTAACTACTCATTATGTGAAAAAGTCTTTTTCTTGCATCACCCTTTCTCTGTTTGCACGTCACTTTAAATCTATGCCCTCTCATTCTTTTTTATTTTCTGAGCAGAAACAGCTCCTCCCTACCTACTCTAGTGAGCCTACTCGTTAATTTGAAAACCTCTATCAAATCTTCTCTCAACCACCTTCTCTCGAAGGAGAACAGTCTCAACTTGTTTTATCTATCCTCATAACTGAAGTTGCTCATATCTGGAGCCATTCTTGTTTTTGCTTCTGCACTCCCTCCAATGCATTCACATCTTTTCTAAAATGTGGCACCCACAACTATACACTCCAGCTGAGGTCTAGCAAGTGTCTTGTACAAGTTCAACATCATCTTGCTGCTCTTGTTCTCTATGCCTGTATTAATGAGCCGAGAGCACTGTGCTTTATTATCTGCTCTCTCCACCTGCCCTGCCACCTTCAATAATCTGTGCACATATACACCCAGGTCCCTATGTTCCTGCACCCACTTTAGAATTATACCCCCATTTTACATTCTGCCACCTATCTGCCTACTCCACCAACTTGTCAAATGTCCTACACAAAGCCTTTTAATTAGAAAGCAATTTGCTTGTACACATGTGAAAGGCTTGGTGAACAAGCTGTCGCACAGGCTGCAAATAATCTGGGAGGTAGATGAAAAATGGAAAATATTCAGAGCTTGATTGTTCCAGCATCCAACATTTCCTCCGACCCCAATTCTGCCTGAGGCTAAAACTCCTAACACTTCAGGACCAAGAGCTATTTTTTTTCTTTATTCTTCAATTAAGTACAGACATTGCTTGCAAAGCCAACATTTGTTGCCCATCTCTATTGGCCTGAGTAGTTAGCTAGGCTATTTCAGAGGGCAGTAGGAGCCAACCACCCTCCTGACAATTTGGAGTGACACAGAAGCCGGACCAGGCAAGGATGGCAGATGTCCTTCCCTAAAATACATTGTTGAACCAAATGAGTTTGTAACGAAAGTCAACAGTGGTTTCAGGGTCACCATCACTGAGACCAGCTTATATTGAAGATTTATTAACTGAATTTAAATTCCTCCAGCTACATTGTAGAATTTGAATTTGTCTCCCCAGAGCATTTGATTGGGCCTCTGGATTATCAACTGGTGATATCACCATTACCTCCCTCTCTTGGATCTGGAGCAGCGCTTTCTCAGGCCATTTTAGTCTGATCTCAAGGAGCTCCTTGTGGTTCTTAACTCCTCATCTCACATATCTTACCTGAGAGATATATACCTTCATCCCTATTCCATATGCTTCATATCTTTGTGCACATCCTTAGCTTTGAAGAGGTTATAGTTGTTTTGGTATGTCATTCTAAATTTTAATAGATTAAATATTACGTGATGAAAAATTCCTGTCACTGAAGAATATTATTAGAAAAATGACAGATGACTTTTTTTAAGATTATCTGTCTGGGACTCCCTGCCTGTATCTAATCAATTATGTTTTTTTATGGCATATTATCTTGTTCAGCTGCTAAACAAAATATTTAAAAACTTGAATGCAATCTTTCTGACCGTCGCTGATTCTTTTAAGATTAAAGGAACTGTTTGTCACATTAAAAGGTTTAAAATAACATTAGACTTGGCTATCCAATTATCTTACCTTTACCATGATGGAAGTTTAAACTAACACTAGTGGGAAAAAATCACTGAGAAAGTTGGAATGTTAAGCCAGGAACCGAGCATAGTGAAAGCATTATTCTAAAGCTGGGCATCAAACTGTTGTGGAGCAAGCCTGCTTTTCAACAAGAGTGTTGAAAATCTTGTGGTCCTTTTTTTAATTATGAGGCTGCTTTTGATGTCATTATAGCAAAGCTGTGGTAAGAGAAAAGAATCATGCAATCTTACAAGGCTTGCTTTTTCCTTCTCTTCGGTGATGGTTTTTTTGTGATTCGGCACAGCCCCATGCTTCTAGTTTCTAAACAAAACCTGCCTTCAACTAGTCTGTAAAATATACAGATGGAAATATGTTGTGGTGCTGCTAAAATTATAATGGAGAACACAGCCCTTTATATACTGATGCCAGATATTCTTCTGAGCCTCAGAAGTCTACGATGAATTATATCTAACAATAATTTTTTCCATGTGGAACTTATACAGAAATAATTTTCTATAACTGAGAAAAGATTCAATCAAATAGGGTGGGGAGGGTTGAGATAAAACTTTATTTTATGTGGGTGCCTGTGCCAAGCCCTGCATTTGTTGCCTGCCCTAATTGCTCTGACAAAGTGCTAATGAGCTGCTGCCTTGAATTGCTGTATAATGTTTTGATATAAGAGAGTGGCTTGCCTGGCCACTTCAGGATAGTTAAAGCCAGTCACATTTTGATACTGGACTAATAGATGAGCCAAACTAGATAAACACAGGAGGTTTCCTTGCTTAACAGGCATGAATGAACCAGTTACGTTTTCGCAACAATCCAGTAGCCTCAAATTCGTTTTCAGTAGTGCCAACATTCTATTTCCAGAATTCATTTTAAATGATCAAATTTTCTAAATCTCAATGGTATTTGAGTTTGCTTTTCCTTGTTTATTAAGATGGGATGCAGGATTACTAGTCCAGTGTATAATAATTAGACTTTGGTATTTTGTTAAAATTGTGGTTTTCGTTCAGTACCTCTCCCCATTCAGGAACTTTACTTATCTGGAAATCTATCCTTTGTAAGACTTCTTCCTATTTTTGCTACCAAGTTTATTCTTAACCAATTGTAGCATTTTGGAACAAAAATGAAAATGCTAGAGAAAGTCAGCAGGTTTGACAGCATCTGTAAAGTTAATGTTTCAAGTCCAATGTATCTCTTGTTTGGAACTGAGGGAAATGGAAATATGATGGGTTTTATACCATTGGAAAAGGTGGGACGAGCAAGTAGAAAGAAAGGGAAGATCCGGGTAAGATTAGAGAATAAGAGAGTTTGATGATCAAAGGTATCACACAGCAAAAGGCAAAGGGAGTGCTTAGATCCAGGGTAGGTGTTTGTAACGGAATAAAAGATCAGCTCAGCTGAAAGCAAAATGAATTCCTAAGTATGTTTAAAAAAAATTATGATATCCAATTTAGTAGGACTCACAGTTTAGTGCACTGGCATATACTGGAATCTATATATATCAATGTACAGGGCCTAGTTCTTTGCAGGCAGAAAGAATATATGTTCTACAAAGCGGTCATCCAGTCTGTATTTGTTTTTCCCACTATGGAGGAGACCATATTGTAAGCAATGAGTACAATAGACTTGAGTTGAAAGTAGTAAAAGGTAAATTGCTGTGCACCTGGAGGGAGAATTTGGGGCTTGGGCAATTAAGAGCTAAAAGGGCATGTATTACACCACAATTGCCTGAAATCGTAAGATGAGAGCGAGACAAGCTTTTGTGGGAGGGGGTGGTGATAAAGTGAATGCTGACAGTAGAGAGGACAGGAAGATTTGTTTGGTAATGGCAATATGCTGGAGGTGGCAGAAATGATGGTGGTTAATCATTTGTATGCGGAGGCTGCTGGATGTGGAAAATGAGGAAGAGTGGAATCCTACCATTGTTCTGGGACTTCACCTGAAGAAGGAGCAGTGGTCTGAAAACTTGTGATTTCAAATAAACCTGTTGGACTATATCCTGTTGTCATGTGTCCTCTGACTTTGTCCACCCCAGTGCAGCACCGGCACCTCCACATCATTATTCTGGGAGGGTAGGGAAAGGGTGACGGCAGATGTGCACGAAATGGATTGGATCCAGTTGAGGACTCTGTCCACCCAGTGGCAAGAGACCCTTAGTTGGGAAAAAGGAAGATTTGTTGGAAGTGTCATTACGAACGGTACTTACAGCAGAACAGATGCAATGGTGAAACTGGGAGTAGAGAATGGGGTCCTTGTAAAAAGCAGGATGTCAGGAGGTATAGTTGAGATTGTTCATTAATGTTAATGAACAAATGTTGCTGAGTTACATTCATTCAGGCAAGTGGAGAGTATTATTCCTTGTGACTTTGGTGAATCAGAATGTGAGCCACAGGCCAGACAAGATACAGCCTCTTACCATGGAAACAATAATGTCATTAGGAGCTGATCATGTCATTAGGGCGTTCTCTTACTGAAGATGATCATCGGTGGCCACTTGAAACATGTACACCATTTGCCATTTACCAGCCTAAAACTGGATGTTGCCCAGGTCTTGATATATGTGAGCAAGGACTGCTTCACTGTGAGAAATTGCAATTGGAGTTCAATACTGCCAAACAAGACACTCCGCTTCTGACCCTGTAATGAAGTGAAGGTCATTGATGGAATAGTTGAAGGTAGTTGGGTTTTGGAGGCGTTAACAGTCTGTTCTGAAGTGGATATCATATTTCAACATTTCAACACATTAGCTGACTTCCAAGTACTAAATAATTACTGCATTGTCATTTGTGAGGCATCAAAGCTTGCTGGATATAAAAGATCCCATAATGCTATCTAAAGTGTGTGTACATTGCAGGCGACGTATTAGTTGTTGCATTAATCCTGTTAACACATTCTATCTCAAAAATTTTGATCTACAGTGAGTACTTGGTGATCTCCTTGGGATATGATAGGATGCTTTATAATAGCAATTCATTTTCTGTGCAGAGTGGGTGTCCAAGTTATCACACCATCTAGGCTATAATTAGTATTGCTTATTCCTAAAGAAAACAAATACTTCACACACTTTTATCAAGTACCTTTCCCCACCCATTTATTAATTGTGGTTTCACTTGAGCACAAAACAAGAGTTACTACTTAAAACTGTCTGAATTAGGTGGTACTTGCTTTTAATGTTTACTGTAACCAAATATAAGATTGGGAGGGACCTCTTGTGGTGCAGTGGTAGTGTCCCTACCTCTGGACCAAGAGATCTGGGCTCAAGTCCCACCTGCTCCAGAGGCTTGTATTAAATCTGAGCAGGTTGATTAGCAAAATAGGTTAATAAAAAAAAAAAGACTGGGCAAAATATTGAATTCGGTACAATTCTTTACTAACTGGCTTATTCCTAGACAGGGAGATGTAGTGCCCAGGTACTCCAATTTTATCTATTGTATCCATTGGGAGATATTTCTTCTATTTGGCATTTGGACCTGTGTTTAACCACTTCGTGCCATTACACGATTGGAGTATTGCTGCCTTCTATTTTAGGCAGTGTTACTTTATCAGATGTCACTACACAATATTGAATCAGAATTTACACTTCCATCCTGGACTCAAGATTGTGGAGATGCATTTATATTATGGCAGAGATAGTGTCACTCCACAGGAATTTTGTTTTGACTTTGTAATTCAGCTGCGAACAATTGTTTACAAAATAACTCTGACATTGTTGGCTATTAATGAATTCTTCCTAATTGGCCAGTGTTTCGTATTGAAAAGATTAAACAGCATTCAGATGTTTCAAATTAATTTCACTGGCTTCAGGGTTGCATTACTATTTTGCATATGCATTTAATAATTATGCTCATGTCTGGACATACAACATGCCATTCATGCAGGGGTCCTCTTAATGTTCTTGGTGAAATTTTGACTTCGCTATTTAGGCACAGAACAACAATAATGGGTGATTTGAACAGTGGTCTTCCTGCATTGTCATCAAGGAATAGTCAAATGCCTGCCACACTTTTTCTGATGGCCCAGCTGAACATTGAGTTGATGATGACAAGAACTGTGTCAGTGCAAAGTAATATTCTGGCATTATTATTGTACGGTATTTGATATAAACAAAATTGATGGAGATTTTCAGAACAATTCACATGGATTAATTTTTAGTTTTATTTCTTGAATTGAAATCGGAAATCTACAGTTCTCTCACGAAGAATCTGTAGATGCTGGTTTATTTTAACCTTACAAGACAGAAATTGATAGTTTATTTTGTTAGATCAAGATTGCAAAAGACATTGCAAAGGCAGATAAATGGAATTGTTATGCAGATCAGCCTCAGTCTAATTGTTTGACTGGCTCAAAGAACTGAATGGCCTCCTCCTGATCTGATATTTCCACTGCAGTATGGACCTTCCTCCTTTATTCAGTTAATAAAACATGTCTTTGCCAAAAATAACAAATCCTTATTTCCTTTCTTAAAGTGACAATGCGACAGTTTGACCATCCTCATATAGTGAAGCTGATTGGCGTAATTACAGAAAATCCGGTCTGGATAATTATGGAACTGTGTACCTTTGGAGAGGTATGATCGTATTCACTGCCAGATTTGTTCAGGGATGTGTGAATATTATGAAAGGGTCTGTCTAGTGTTTTGTTAAAATGTATATTAATTTAGAATGACATGGGATATTTCAGGATTGGCAACACATATTTGCAAAATAGCTATGTCTAAAATACATAATAACATTCCTGAAAATTAAGAGATTCCTGAAGAATTAATAGGAGATATTCAGTGGATGATGTATACTTAAATTATCAAGCAACATTTAATAAGATGCTATAAAAATGGTTTTTGACTTTTTAGAAGTTGTATTAAAGAGTTATAATATTTACTTATCCTGTAGGATATTCATTCCCTAAAAATCTTCTGTGTACAAAAATCTTAAATTTATGCCCATTATTTAGTGAATAGTGTCTGGCAATTCAGTGCAATGTATCAAATGTGTGTGTGGAGTGTGTTAGCCTGCTTTTGTGAGCTAGTTTGCTTCTCATTTTAATTGGGCCTGTAATAAGAACGAAGGTGATCAAAGCAATTGCAACCCTGCAATCACCCTGTTGAACATTAGAAAAAGTACTTGCCCTTTTTACCCTTGTCAGATTGCAGCTGCTGGCTGAACACACCTACCTTGAATTTCAGCATGGTTTCAGAACTGGAAAACCCACAACTTACAACATCCTCCCATTATGGCAGCTTCAAGAAAAATGCCATGAACTGAAGAGACCACTATATATTGCCTTTAATATTCTCACCTAGTCTTTGATCATTGGAGCAGAGGCAAGATTCTTGAAGATGCTGAGAGAAAATTGGTTGCAAACCTGCTCAATGTGATCTGCTCTTGATGACATGTGAGGTCAGTTATGAGGTGACTACATCAGAACTTGTGATCTGCACTGGGGTCAAAAAGGTTTATGTTCTTACACTAACACTCTTCACCATTATTCATCTCTGTTGCTGCCATATACCTCCAGGTTGTCTACAGAGGGTATCTACTTTCATACCAGAATTGACAGAAATCTGTTCAACCTTGCTCATTTGAGATGCAAGACAAAGATATGCCAAGTCCTCTCAAAAGAGTATTTCTACATGGCTGGACCTCCACTAGCACTCCTGAGAAACATCTTCAGCAAATGAAAGACCATCAAGATTGCAGAGCAAATGTCATAGGACAGGATGTTGTCATACTGCCATCTGTCAGCATTGATGATGTGATCCTGGAGGTTGTTGATAGCTTCACATATCTAAGTTCCACAATTACTAGCAATCTGTTACTTGATGCTGAAATTGACATATGCAAGGCATAAGTTGCAGCTGTTATGATAAAGCTGTTTGAGAGTGTAGAATTACAGTGATCTGACTGAGAACACCACATTATGAGTTTACTAAGTCTTTATCTTCACTGCACGGATCTAAAGTGGATGACCACTGCATTCACAAAAATCTGCAAGTGAGACATGAAGATGGTAGTCATTGGAACTGAAACTGGAACAGAATCTCGCTGACACCAGTGACTGCTGGAGGTTGACTGGAAGGGCAGTGAAAGAGGCAAGCAGAATCTAAAAGCTTGGCTGACTGAGAAGAGGACCCTGACGAAGAGATGCCAGTGAAATGTGCGCCTTTACAACCCATTGACTTCCTCGGTAGTCAATGCAGCAGAGACTGCCACGCCAGAACTGGCTGCCTGAGCCGTACCAGGTGATGCTTTAACACAGAGTTGATCACAAAGGTCATGACCGTCAGGATTGGAAAGTGCAAACCATTTATAAGATGGGACATTACCACAAACCAATGAATGGAAATTTTTTTCACAGTTTGCTTTATTAATTCTGGGAGGGGGAAAATTGAACACCTGTTAGCGCACCTCTCAACCTCCTTTGTCCTTATGAAAAGACCGTAGTTTTTCTCAACTCACTTAAGTAATGTTTCTCAACCCTGCCAGTGATGTTTCCCTGCACTATCATATGTTTCCTGAATTAGGATGTTCCGAATTGGGCTCAATGTTTTAATTGCAATGTAACCAGTGATATGTATAATTTAAAATTCATTACTTTTCATCAGACATAGGTTCAGTAATTTAGTTTGATCAGTTGCTTCCAGGTTATAAAAGAAATTAAACACCTGAAATCAAAAGCGATGATGAGAAGAGATTCTTACTTGTTTTTAAGCTTAATTTGAATATAAGCTTATAGAAAACAATACATGTTTTGCCAAACGTTTTGCAATGTGGTACATTTACAATATTTTGCTTAGTCAATGTCAACAGAATAGTACCTTTTGGAATTGCTTTCATAAAAGAATGACTATTATAATTGAATGTTTTTTGCACTCAGTTACGGTCGTTTTTACAAGTAAGAAAATACAACTTGGATTTGGCCTCCTTAATTCTGTATGCTTACCAGCTCAGCACAGCATTATCTTATCTGGAGAGTAAGAGATTTGTACATCGGTGAGTAAATGTGCAGTTTAGTCTAGTTGATTAGAGGAAAGGATGTTATAGGAATATTGATTTGGATGTGGGCATATCTGGCATTATTAACCATTTACTAATTAATGAATGTAGGTGTAATGGTGTTTGAAATGGAAACAAAGTACCATTAGGTACTGAGGTCGTTCGAGATAAGTACTATTCTGTTGCATAGCTGCACATATGTTAAGTGCTTCCTTGCTAGCTGAGTTGAGCAACATAAAATGTTGCACAAAAACAGAAGTTGCTGGAAAAGCTCAGCAGATCTGACAGCATCCATGAAGAAAAAAATCAGAGTTGACGTTTCAGATCCGGTGACCCTTTCTCAGAACCATTCTGAGGAATGGTCACTGGATCCAAAACGTTAACTTTGATTTTTTTTCTTCACAGATGCTGCCAGACCTAAGCTTTTCCAGCAACTTCTGTTTTTGTTCCTGATTTTACAGCATCCTCAGTTCCTTCAATTGTGATCAAATATTGCACACATAAGTTAGTCTTCAGCAGCAGAGGTTTGGGTGAAGCTATCGGCTCACACCACAGCCAGCATATATTTCTTAATAAAAAATACTATGGGCAGATCAAAATGAAAAGAAGGTTAAAAGAAACATAATTTAATCTATTCTTGTATATTCCTACATACAAAGAAAAACAAATTACCTTTTGGAAACACTGCTAAATAAGTGCCACCTTCTGGATTATAGATGAATTACAGAAAAAAAATCCATGTCTGCTTCTTGGTGACATGCTGCCTCAAATAAGCATGCAACATAAAAACGTATTGTGAGCAAGTTTACAGGAAGTTAAAGCCTTGAAGCACCTATATTAGCCATAGAAATGGAGATTAAACTCTGGAAATTACCATTGGAAGAAACTACCCTTCAAACAGAGATCACTCAATCTCAATTTATTCTAATTTTGCTGTAAAGTCATTTATTCACTGTTGAGCCTTCCCAATTGCCTTGACTTGAAGATCTGAACAACATTTCTGATCTTTTGCTGTGGATTAGGATTATCTCGGATAAGATTTAACAGTGCTATTTATTTTTAAACTGCATTACTGACGCACAGAATATAGCTTGTTATTTTTAAGGATTAGAAAAGAGACTGTTTACCAAACTATAATATTGTTCTGTTTTTGTTTCCAACATTAATTGCAAAAAGTTTTAAAGACCAGTGTTTCTAAAAAAACACATTTCTAAGAGTTCTCCTGATTATGAAAATTGAAGTAATCAAAATCATTCACTGCGGCATATTTAATAAAGACTGCATAGCAATAGTATGCCACTCAGATGAATTTATTGTTACACATGCAGGAATAAGATGAATTGTAATCAGTTCTTTGTTTGGATGGATCACACTACTTTTCTGGTGTATAACCTATTGTAAATAAAATCATTAATGGATTATTTCATAATATTCAGTGATAAGTAACAACAAGACGTTTAGTGGAGCTGGTAGACACCTACAGCTGTCATAAATGAAAGAAGATAAACTTGACATCATGACAGTAGAAGATGGAATCTGCCCACGGACAGTGGGATCAGTGGCTTCTGAGCAGAAGGATAGCACTTAAAGCAAAATTCAAAAGTACGTTTCTGAGATTTAGGCTTATGTCAAATTGAGTGGCATTGCAGCAAATCATATTGACTAAATTCTGGATGATTTGTTTGATGTGCGTAAAACACTTTCAAATTTACTTGCGCAAAGAAACTTGTGTATGAAAAACAATTCCGGGGAAAAATATCTTTATCCAGTAAAAATCATAATGTGAATGATCCTTTAATATGAAAGAATAGAAAAGGATTTATGTGACCGAGTCAGCACTTGATCTTCAAAGGATTAGTATAAATATTTTAATCTGTACTTTTTATTCTTATAGGGATATTGCTGCCAGAAATGTCTTAGTATCATCATTAGACTGTGTAAAGTTAGGAGACTTTGGTTTATCGAGATACATGGAAGACAGCACTTATTACAAAGGTAGGGATCAGAGTTAATACAAAGCTATAAAACTTGGACAGGCAATGTCTGCAAATAATATTTTGATAGTCTGCACTAACAAGGAGTCCAATATGTGATGTGTTTGGTATCAATTGAATTCTTGACATAATAAATTGTAAAACTGTTGGATTTTATTGCTGGTGAAACAGAATCTGTTCCCATTTATTTGAAATGTTTGAACAATAATCTTACAAAGAATACATTTCCCATCTCTGCAGTGAGTACAACCTGTTAATAGTTAACGCAGTAGTAATTCACAGCTTTTGCGTGCGATCCCACTAAGTAATTATTGTCCAATGGAAACGTCAAAAGTCAGCATAACATTTGAGTAAGTTGTGCTTGTAACTATTGTGATGTTCTGCAATCTTTTACATTGGTTCAGAAGCCACTCTTAGTAATTGACTGCACCTGCAGGTTAGTATGACAAGTTTATGCCAACTATGCCTTTTTGGGAGTGTTTATCACATTATGATAAGGATTTCAGATGTGCAAAAACCTGTGGGCATGTTAGTTCATCATAATGACCGTGACCTGTCAGTTAAAGCCTCATTCAGGTCTGTTTATCAACCTGTGTTTAAGTGAGTTCAAATTCAGTTAATCAATCTGTCTTTGATACTTAAGATTTGTGATCGGCAGTCAAGTAAAATCTTTGATTCTGTTTCTTCCAACTGTAGCACTCATTGAATTGTTTGAATGCATTTTCAGTTGTCTTGAATCCTTTGGTCATTTTTTAAATGGTCATTTATAAAATTCATTTGTGGAATGTTGTTATTAAAGGCTACTCTAATAGTTAATGCACATTCCTGTTTGTCCTTCAGAAAGTGAGCTGTCTTCTTGAGTGACTTGCTGGGCTGTTAAGAGAGGGTGTTTAACAGTCAAATGCAATGCTGTGAGTCAGAAATCCAATCTTGGCCATGCCAGATCAAATAGAATGACTAATCTCCTATAAGGAAGGAAATCTGTAAGCTATCACAACAATCCAGCAGAATCATCATCACTTTTAGTAGCTGAGGCATTTACATCCATCTTACCCAGAAGTACCAAGTGGATGATGCCTCTCAGCCTCCTGCCGAAGTCACCTGTATCACCGATGCCAGTCTTCAACCAATTAATTCAATCCATGTGATATCAAGGAACAGCTGGAGATACTGGATACTGTAAAGATTAAGGGCCCTGACAAGATTCCAGCACTAGTGCTGAAGACTTATACTTCAGAACTAACTGCGCCCCTAGCCAAGCTGTTCCAGTGCAACTACAATAGTGGGATGCCCCACAAAGAATTGGAGAAATAAAACCTGGCCAATTATCACCCCATCAGTCTATTCTTGATCTTCATTAAAGAGATGGAAGGGGTCACTGACAGTGCTATCAAATACCATTTGCAAAGAAATAACCTGCTCACTGACCCCTCGTATGAGTTCCCCTCAGGCCATTCTGCCCTTGACTTCGTTAAAGCCTTGGTCAAAATATGGACAAAAGAGCTGAACACCAGAGGCGAGGTGAGAGTGACTGTCCTTGAAATCAGGCCAGCATTTGATCAAATGTGGCATCAGGGTGTCCTAACAAAACTGGAGTCAAGGGGAACGAAGGGAAAATCTCTCTGTTTTCTGCAGTAATTCATAGAACAAAAGAAGATGGTTGAAATTGTTGATGTTCAATCATCTGTACCAGGACATCTCTGCAGGAGTTCCATAGGGTAGTGTCCTGCTTCATCAATGTTCTTCCCTCCATCATAAGGTCAGAACTGGGGATTTTCATTGATTACACAAAATTCACCACTCTTCATGACTCCTCAGATACCGAAGCAGTCCGTGTCCATGTGTATCAAGATTAGGACAATATCTAGGCTTATAAGTGGTGAGTATACTAGTCATAATCAATGTGGATCACCACCAAGAGAGACTTTAACTGTCGACCCTTATCACCATCCTGGGGGTTACCATCGACTAGAAGCTGAACTGGACCAGCCATAGAATTATTGTGGCTATGAGAAAAGGTGAGAGGTGAGAATTCTGTACGGTGTAGCTCAGTTCCTGTCGTCCCAATACCTGTGCGCCATCTACAAAGCAAGTCAGGAGTGTGATGGAATAGTCCCTACTTACAGATGAGTGCAGCTCCAAGAATACTAAAGATGCTTGACACCATCCAGGACAAAGCAACCCACTTGATTGGCACCCCATTGAAGGGAAAGTACATAGTATCAGAAATAGGAGGAACTGATATGGGGGTGGCCAATAAACATTGCAGGTTTCCTGTTACAACTAGTACGTGTTTAGAAGTACGAGACGTGAGCGTATATCATAGTTAGAATATGATCGGATAAAATCGACTGAAGTTGAATACAATTGAATAATATAGACATGTGTATTACCACAAATGTCTGGTATGCAACCAGGGTTGCTCAGAGATGAAAAGTGTGTAAGGCTTTAATTGAAAAGTATTACATGTAGAAATAGTCATCTAAGAATTGTATTAAACCTTTGTTCTTGTGATGAAGATTTGAGTTGTTCGCCATTCTCTTCGTGTGCACTTCTCCCGTGCATGCATGAATAAGTTTGTAACAAATCTGAGTCTCGTTTGGTCGAAGAGGAAATAAAGAGAGAATTCACTCCTAACACCATCTGCCATGTTGAATAATCACTCCCTTCGCCTCTGATACACAGTGGCAGTTGTGTGCTCTACCTACAAGATGCACTGCAATAACTAATCAAGGCTTCTTAGACAGATTCCAAACCTGTAGATTCTGCCACCTACAAGGACAAGGGCAACAGCTGCGCAGAAAAGCCACAACCTGCAAGTTCCCCTCTAATTCACACACCATCATGACTCGAAACCACGTGGGTTTTCCTTGTATGTCACAGGCGGCTAAGTCCTGGCACTCCCTTTCAACGAGTGTGTCTCTACACCCAAGGACTGCAGTGATTCAAGAAGCCAGTTCATCACCACTTTCTTAAGCAGTTAGTAAATGCTGGTCTAGCCAATGATAGCCACACCCATGAACAATTTTTAAAAAAATTCTACATTTATTTCATAGAATCTAAATTTCCTAATTGCTTTTGTGGATTTTGAAATCGTACCTCTGAATCATTAATCCAGACTTCCAGATTCCATTTAATCAAACTATTATGTTACTTGTACATCTATTCCAGTCAATTATCAATTGCACTCATTCATGCTTCTCAGTTACACTGACTCAGTGGATTTTATGTTTTGACTTATGCAACTGAATTTGAGCAGAAACATGGAGCTAATTTTACCTTGGCAAAACTGATGTTGTGATCAGCTCATTATAAATGCTTTTTCACAAATCCAGTCTGAGCAGAACTTCGTTCTTTTTACTCTTGCTAATGGATTGCACTACCTTGCTTTCTGAGGGCCAGATTTAAATTTGTATAATTAAAGAGTGGGATTAGGTACAGAAACTACAGCATGGATGGTACAATTTATGAGCTTTCATCCTTATCTTGACAGCCTCCAAAGGGAAGCTGCCCATTAAATGGATGGCTCCCGAATCGATCAACTTCCGCCGGTTTACCTCAGCTAGTGACGTGTGGATGTTTGGTAAGTTTGTTTTAACTCCATTCACATAAATCTTGTTGCTGTCTGAAGGAAATACATTTGCCTCCTTTAAACTCTCTACTATTTTGCACCCTCTATTCTAAGATGGAGTGCCAGCAAATCGCAGGCTACTTTTATCGTTAAGATTGAGTTGATTTATACACATGCCTCTATGGTTTTGCACTTTGATAATAAACTGAATTTAATCCCTTGCCCAGCAAACCAAACCTTCCTTAACCTGAATCCTCATTCTAGCCCTACCCCTGAACTTGTTTTCACGGTTCATCCCTTTCCGAACTTATCATCCACTAGATTGAGTACCTACTCACCTTGATTGCATCCACATTAAATTACTGACCATCCAAACACACTTTCTGGCTCCCATTCATTTTTATTCTCAGGCAGTGACCCGTTTCCTCTCAAAATGACCATCATCATCAATCTCTTTCTCCTCTGTTAAGATTCACCTGGAAAACCTGCAGTCCTCACAAACTATTACTCTGTCGCAAACACTAGAAGCTGTTCAACCATTTATTTAGTCTATGGCTGATCAGCACTTCAGCTCCATTTTGTCCATATATCCCAATACTCTTATATGTTCAAATTCTATCCATATTAGCTTAAGAATTTCAATTGACCAGCATCTTTTACTGATAGAGTTGCAGATTTTTACAATCTTTTGAGTTTCAAAAAATTCCTTTTGATTTCGTTCCTAAATGGCCAAACCCTAATTTTAGCATTAAGCCCATGTTGCAGAGTCCCCCCACCAGAGAAAATATTTTGTTCCCACCCTATTAAGTCCCTCTATTATTTAAAAAAATGTTTCCTTTTTGCTCACTGAAACTCTCTCCCAAACTTATGGAAGGTTCTGCTCCCTGTCCTCTCTCAAATTCATGTCCATCTTTTCTTGCAATCTTAAGTTTGAATTCCTGCATCAGTGTTCCATCACTGCCATGCTCCATGGCTGTGACCTGTTTTATAGTTTTTGACATGACTGGCCACTTTCTTTTAACACCTCTTGTTCACCTTGGTAGGTTTCACTCATTTGTTTCCACTCCCATCAGTTTGATTGCTCAGGATCATTTCCTAAAATGGCCTCTCTTTCCTAATCCGCACCATAAACTGTAGACCTCCATAAGGATCTGTTTCAAACCACATCCTTCCTTAAACTTTGCTTTTGAAAATCCATGTCTGAGACATGAGTTAGTTTCCATGTGTACATTAAAATTAATAACACTTAGCTGTATCTCTTGACTCAATCTCTTCGCTGTTTTTCTTATGCCAGCGCAGTAGGCAGCTAGCTATTCAGCATTGGTTGAGCTACAATGTCCTTTGGGTAACATAAAGGCGATGGAAGCCTTGCCATGATTCATGCCATCCACTTTCCACACAGGTAGCCACAGATGCATTGCGTTTCTCTACCATTGTCTAGGGCCAAACCAGACTGTTCTTAATCTATTCATCCATTTCAATCCCAAATTGGGATTCTGACTTGATAGACGCTTCATAATGAAGAACACTTGAGTACTTAAGAGGCATTTAGACGGACACATGAACAAGTAGGGGATAGAGGGATACAGACAATGTGCAGACTGATGGGATTAATTTAGAATGGCATCGTCGACACAGATCTGTGATGCACTGTTCTTATATTATATCTCCGTAACATTGCATGTCTCTAGCTCTCCTTCCACCCTCTGCTTAAACCCTCATTCCTCCCTTCAGGCCGGGTGATTCCATTCCATAGAGGATCAGTTCATTCAAAACAGCTGCATGTATTCACACTGTTCTAGTTGCTGCTCATCTGTCACCCTATGCATGCTGAATTCCATTGGCCCCGGTCTTTGCTATGGTCTCCACAGAACTGTAGAACTCTGACTTCGAGAGCATTCCAGCTCACTCTCCTGAATAGTTAACCAGCAATAGTTAAAGGAATTAAAACTGCTATCACTATTCAACTGACCCCGCTCCAGTTCCCCATTGAGCTTCAGACTCCCAGATGCTGCACTGGCCTGACCCCAATACCGTGATCTGATCCAATACATACCCCCATCCAACTCCACCAAAACCTCATAACTGTACCTGCCACAGCCCAACACCCTATTAATTACCCCACCCTCCCCCGCCAACCCAACATCTCAACCCAATCTGAAACCCAACCTATCCTGCCCCTTCATCCACCAGCCACCTGTCACCCTGCTCACTTACATTCTCCCTGTAGCTTCTCCCAGAGCGTTGGGATGTTTAAACTTTTATGTGCAGCAGTTACTACTTAAAAAATGGATGCAACTTGGCGTCCATTCTGACTCTGTGCTACTCTTACATTTAATATACTCTATATTTGTCAAGAGGTCCAAATGAGAAATTTGGTCCTGAAACTTAGAGCTCCATGGCACAGTATGTTAAAAGGAGCAAAATAGCAATCTGAATATGATTGCCCTTCTTTGGAAGATTCAGGCCACTGTTATCTGTGGTTAAATCATTAGGTTCGATGCAGTCTTCTCCACTTTAGGTAGATATGACTTATGTGGTTTGTCTAATTCTGTATTCAAACTGCTATTACGAAAGTTCAATTTTATGTTGTTTTGTATTTAAATTAAAATATTTTCTACTCTTTGTTTCTTTCTATGCTTTAGGTGTTTGTATGTGGGAAATTCTAATGTATGGAGTGAAACCATTTCAAGGAGTAAAAAATAATGATGTAATTGGTAGAATTGAAAATGGTGAGCGGTTGCCAATGCCTCCAAATTGCCCTCCAACACTCTACAGCCTCATGACCAAATGCTGGGCATATGATCCTAGCAGAAGACCACGGTTCAATGAACTGAAACAACAGCTCAGGTAGGAAGAAGTTCTTATTTTCTTTTGATTAAATTTTTAACAAAGCAAATTGCAGTTATGATTTGATTTCCATTTCTAAATGAAACCCATAATGGTGACTAAAAGTTAATGAGGGAGTGCTGCCCAATCAGAAGTCGTATCTCTCGGTTGCCATTTTAAGCCAATGTCCCATTCACCACCTCAAATGTAAAATCTCCCACTAATATTTCTCAAAGAACAGCAGGGAGGTTCTCCTGCAGCCCTGTGCAACAATTATTCCCTCACCTAGCATCAATAAACGCAGATTATTTAATTGTTGTCATTCATTTTTTGTGAAAACCTACTGTGTGTAAATCAGCTTTTGCATCTACTTTTGTTACGACAGTGACTTTAAAATGCTTTATTGGCTGTTTAAGTGCTTTGGAATGCACGGTATGTGAAAGGTATATTGTAAATGTGCATTTTTATGGTAAAATTCATGTAGATTGCTACACGTTTATCATATGAAGTGAAACACTAAAATTCAGACACTGATGAAGTGGTGGGTATCAAAGGTCAGTGGACCAGATTTTATTACTGTTGCTTTAATTCTTTTAGTGACTTTTATGTTTCGTGCCCTTGTCTAATGAGTGTTGCTCTAAAATTTGTACATTGTTGAAGAGGGCAGGCACAAAATAAAGAGACTACAGCATGGTTTAAATGTGAAGAAACAGAAATTGTTGGAAAAACTCAGCAGGTCTGGCAGCATCTGTGGAGAGAAAGTAGAGTTAACATTTCAAGACTTAAGGCTCCCTGGCCTTGAAATGTTAGCTCTGTTTTTCTCTCCGTGATGCTGAGTCTCTCAAGTAATTTTTGATTTTGTTTCAGATTTCCAGGATCTGCAGTCCTTTTATGGACTAAATGCAGTCCTATATTGAATACAAGGAGCAAAACACATTTCTGTTCAATAAAAACCAAAAGAACTGCGGATGCTGTAAATCAGGAACAAAAACAAAGTTGCTGGAAAAGCTCAGCAGGTCTGGCAGCGTCTGTGGAGGAGAAAACAGAGTTAACGTTTCGGATCCGGTGACCCTTCCTCAGACATTTCTGTTCAAACCAGCTATCTATATTTTGAATTCCATTCATTAGAATGTCATTCTCAGTCATGAAATCTTTGGTCAACCTATGAGCTACATGCTAAGTAAGCAAATGAAAGCGCAGGAAAAATTTAATGAAAAATAACTTTGTAATGTCGTGCTTCATGCCATCAGTTTGTAGAACCTGATAAGTTGAAATTTGGAATTTTCATTATTTGGCAACCATACAAATGTAAGAGGTGAAGGTTTAAAAATAAAAATACTGAGTATTGGCATTATAAAACAATAAATAGGTAGCAATCAGTATTTTATTTGAAACATTTTCAGGAGCTATTAGTATTCTGTTGCTTCTAGATAATTAAGACCAACAAGTGAATGGTATTTTGCTTTTAGAATGACAACGAGCATTGATTTACCAATTTTATTATTTAAATGTTGCATTTATGGCGCTGTAAGGAGAGCTTGTCACCATTCCAGAAAGAAGTTGTTTAAGTTCTGTCCTTGTACTGCTATCATGTTGCAAAATAATTAATTGGTAAACCCAAATCCTTAAATGGAGATTAATTTCAATAGATTATCTTAACAGGTTCTACTCATTGTAAAGTATTTACAAACCCATTTGGGATTTATCCTTGCCTTTCCCCTTCATTTGTTCATTGAGCAACATTTTAGTGTACTAATGCAGTTACTGTATGTGGATCAATGTTATTGATAGAATATATTTCCCCTTCAAAAGCATCATTTGAGCTGAAAGTACAATTTATTTTCATACAGCTCTGTTCAAGTAAGCAAACAATTGTTGATGGTACATGGCTTGTGAATGGAGTTGGATTTCAATATTGATAAGTGGGGGTTTATTTTGAAGCCAGAATAATGAATGGAAATTTTTATTGGCATAAAATTATCAAGACCATCTGTTGAACCTTCCAATTTCTGTCCACTTCTTCAATGGAAGAACAAAGGGCAAGCTCTCAAAGGCTGGTAATGTGGTCTGCCAAGTTATCATTGGGGCTGCAAAGTTCAAAATTGTTCCCACTGATGATTCAAAGAAAGTTTAGAGAAGGACAATGATCTCTGATGTAATTTCTCTTAGCTATAAAGAAATAATCACTGAATTGAGTCGAAAATAATCCAAATTTAATTTTAAAATATTAATACAAAGGAGTTATCGGTAGAAACAAGCTAATTACTTGGTCTGTGATCACAGAACAAGTTGATGCAAAGACTAACCAGCATTAAGTGAGACTTGATCAAAATCTGCAGAGTGATGCATATGTGGAACAGGAATTTAGCAAAAACGCATAATACTATGTCAGTTAATCATTTTGAGAAGATAGATAAGTATCTGAAATGGATGACTTCACACATCTTTACATTTAACCCTGTCGAAGTTGCTAGAAAAGCTCAGCAGGTCTGGCAGCATCTGTGAAGAAAAAACCCTTCCTCAGAAGGGTCACTGGACCCAAAACGTCAACTCTGATTTTTTCTTCACAGATGCTGCCAGACCTGCTGAGCTTTTCCAGCAGATTTGTTTTTGTAACCATTTTGCTTACTTTGGTTGTTTGACATTGACCACCACAGAAGAGGGCTGCTTCATGTAAACAGAATTTCAAACTGTGAGCAATTGCATTCTTTAAACAAATATTATCTATAATTCTGGCTCAGTTTAGCTCTTATAAATCCTGTATCTAACCTATAACATACTGCTGTTTACATTTGAATAACTTTTCTAAATACTAGTCAGAATATGCCAAAGCAACTTGATTAATGACTCATTGGAAAACATATTCTGTCAAACTTTATTGAAGTAAATCTAAACTGGCAATGTTCTGTAAAGGAAACTGAAATGAATCAAAACTCAGTTAAGAAATTAATTTCAGTGATTTAGGTTTGCTTGTACTTTGATAATTAATAAACTACTGCTAAAGGGTTTCTGAAGAAGGGTCCAGACCCAAAATGTCAGCTTTCCTGCTCCTCTGATGCTGCTTGGCCTGCTGTGTTCATCCAGCTCTACACCTTGTTATCTCTCTACAACACAAAGTGTCGTTTCAGCCCATCATGTCTGTACTGGCAACAAAAATGATCTAGCCATCCTGCTGCTATTTCCACTCCTACCTCTGATACCTTTTCCATATCCTTGAAGGTTACAGCACTTCAGCTGCAGATCACGGTACCTTTTTATGGATGTCGAGGCTTTCTGCGTCAACCATGAACCCAAGCAACAAATTTCAGTCACCCACTACCGTCTGCATGAAAAACATTTTCCTCCTATGTCCTCGCTAATCCTCCTCCTGATCACCTTATAAATCTTCCATGTCACTAGCTACTCCCGCAACAGATCTTTTATCCATAAAGATCCTGTCAAATATCTAAGTAAGCAAGTTAAGGTGTTGGGGTTCAAAAAGAGTGGTCATTCTTGTCCAGCTGACTGGAATATACCATGTGCTGCTTTGCATAATCCTGTTGCTAGTTAGAAGGATGTGCTTTTGAGGCTTAAGCTAACAAGACATCTATCACCTGCTGGACATTGCTAAGGCTCTGCAATGACAATCATTAACCCCTGTGAGTAATTTATAGTTGTTATAACTGTCATGCAGCTAACAATTCATAATTTTCACCATGTGCATCCTCTGCGAAGGAAAGGTCCAATAAACAAACAAGTATGCTTCAGTGCTGTCACAGCAGACTCCCCCATCACCACCAACTCTGGTCATTGATGGAGGGCAGATATTTTACAGACTTTGCTTTCACCTGTCCCTGAGGTAGAGGTGCAGATGTTGGACTGGGGTGGACAAAGTCAGAAGTCTCACAACACCAGATTATAGTCCAACAGGTTTATTTGAAATCACAAGCTTTCAGAGTGCTGCTCCTTCATCAGGTGAACTTCTGTCTGTCTCTGAGGGATTAATTGACCGAGCTAAAGTGGAGATGGACCATGCATCTCTCCCTTGTGCCAATCTGATCTCATCTTGTGATGTGAGCTTATTTTTTAATGTTATTTTCATCCTCCTAAGTGGATCTTTATAAAAGTGAATGGCAAATGTTTCAATATCTGAAATAGAGCTAAGTTTGAACTATTTTCTGAGTTTTGAGCTCTCTGTCTATATTCCTGTCTGGTAGAGGCAAAACGCTGCACCTCCTTCAGTGTCACTCTGGTGTGATTATTTGGTTTTCCTGGACCTTTCATTAGGTACATGAATTGCCACTGCTGCATATGTTTCTGATTTATTCCCTTGCCTGAAAACACACAGCTTCCTGATACTGGTCAAGTGAGTGAATCCTGTGCAGTAATATCAGTATCTACTATAAGTTGAATAAAAGCGAAGTACTGTGGATGCTGAAAACCTGAAACAAACTTGAGAATGCTGGAGAAATTCAGCAGGTCTGCCAGATGCTGCCAGAGTTGAATTGAGTTCCTCCAGTATTCTCCATCTGTTTCAACAAAGCTGACTGCACTGTTCTCCCTTGCAGCCTTAGCCTTTCTCTGCTAAATAGTCTGGCACTTTGTTTCAAAAGCCACATCATTTCCTTATAGATCCTCAAATGTGATGATTGTGAAGTATTCACTCCTTTATAAATAGGATATTCAGCCAAATCATGACCAAAGGTATGTTTGGGACCCCTTGAAGTTTGGAGTGCATGAGATTGCAAGTGGGCTGAGAAAGCTAAAGAGTATGAGGAATTTTTTTACATATCAAAGGAACAGTAAAATTTTTTATTGGTAGGTCAATTGAAAGAAAATTGTTGGAAGTGGGGTAGAATCTTTGAGAGGTCTGAATGATTATCAGAAATAGCACTCAGTTATTTATAAGGAACTTGTCAATAATTTTGAATTGATATGAAATGACTGAGTAAGCTGAATGCATGATGAGCGCGAGTTATATTTTACATAAACTGTTCAGCTAACAAAAGAAAAATCCTTAGTGTGTGACCCCACAGGAACAA